TTTAAAATTGTTATAGAGTTACCTAATATTAAGAGGAGAAGCAGTATTGTGATAGAAAAAAGTTGTAGAAGATATACTTGTTATCCCTTTTACAGCACAATAAACCTGGCCAGTCATTCAAGGGAAAGGAGAAAAGGTTAGCTACGTTTTTCCATAATAAATGTATAAGACTAGTATGACGAAAGTTGTTGATTTCATTATTAACATCCCCTTTTAGCATGTGATGTAAAGCACAGTAAACTTGGCCAGTCATTCAAGGGAAAGGAGAAAAATTGTTGACTTTATTATTAACATTAAACAAAACCAAAAAGGCAATTCACATTCCACCCTGCTCCTTCCCGTACTTCAATAATTGTCACATTTTAGATATTTCATATTGTTTTAAGAAAATAATTATTTTGTTTAAGTTATAATGTTGATATACCACTGTTGATTTATTTAAGTTTATAATAAATGTATAAAAGGAATTGAAGCAATCACTATACTCATATGCCAACGGGTAAAAATGAAAATAAAAATTTTATCATTGTGACAAATTATTTAAGAAACGGTTGAGGGGAGTATTGAACCCATTAAAAGTCAAATGCATAAATTTATTTATGTACTTTTAATAAAAAAATTTTACTGCATCTCAATTTTTATTTTGGATTTATAAATAATTTAATTTAAAATTATACCTGTTAGACACTCTGATTTATAAAACTATCTTATTAAACTCTACAACTTTGTAAAATTAGATAAAAATTAATTCACTTATTGGGAAGTTAAAAATGTTAAAGATTATTCTTAATAAAAGTTTTACTAACCATATATTAATTAATACTTTTACGTATATATTACTATATATAAATGTCGAAATGTGGAAATAAGAGATTTTTCAATTAACGCGATGAAATTTAGGATTTTCCGATAATGAGATTTACATATCTATACTTATTGGCTGTATTGTTTGTCGAGAATTTTATGTATTTTTATGTATTCTTTTTTTTTTTTTTTTTTTTTTTGAGGAATTTATGTATTTTTATATATTTTGTGTGTTGAGGTTGTTCCAAATTTTTTCACCTAACCATTCTTAGGTTAGGTTTGTTTTTGTAGTTAAGCCTAATGATTTGAGTTTAGTTGCCCTTCAATATAGGTTCTTCTTAGTATTATTTAAAATTAATAATAACAATATTTACTGTTAACAAAAACTTAAAATTCCGGTCTTTAAGAATATAAGTAAATGTATTTAAAATTCAGGTAAGCCAATATTATTATCCTTTTGTAATTTAAAATTTGAAAACAACAATTAACAATATATATAAAATAAAATAAAATAACAATTATATGCTGGCAATCACTTTCAGTAAACGTAGAATTTCTTGTTAGTGAGTTGTTGTACTCCATTTATACAATATCCAAAATTGACATTCATTCGTTCATTTCAATTCAAATTGTAAGTTCTTAAGATTAATTATTTATTATTAATCTATGTGAAACTTATAATTTTCAACAATTTGTAAACATGAGTAAAAAAATTATTCTTATATATAAATCTACGTAAAAAAAAATAGTAATTTCTTATACTAAACAATGGTAGGTAAAGAAATTAATTTTAGCTTGGAGGAGAAAACTAAACTGGAAAACCAACCACCTTCACCATTGCCTAAATGGCGAAAAATTCCGAGTAAGTGGCAAAGCTACAACAAAAAGTTCACCAACCCACTGGGTTTTTTGGTGCCTAATAATTAATTAGGACACCCTTCATGTGTTGGTGTTACCCTATGTTACAAGACATTGTCCATATATGGCCAACCATTAAGGCAAACCTATCCATTTTGTAAACAGTGTGCCATATTTATAGATGACAATTACTCCCTCCGTTTTATTACTTTTGAATATTTTTGATTTAGGGTCCTTTGTTTTTATATAAAAAATTTTACTCTAAATAGAAATTTTTAAGGAAGAATGTCAAAATAAAAAGTCAAAATGTATTTTAAATATACCTCTATTCTATTTTAGATAAGACAAACATTCCTTTTTATGTGTTTTATTTTAAATGGAGAAATTTTTACTATTTGGTAACTTTGAGAAGCTAGCCAAAAGTGAATAGTCTAAATTACCTTTGTTTTAGCTCATTCAGATCTCATGGGAGAAATTTTCTAGGATAGTTAAGCAAAACAAAGAAATTATATACTCAATTATGCATTTAAAGTACCAAAAACAACTTGTTGGAATGCAAAAACTATCACATTATTAAAACGTGCACAACATTCTTAAAGATGGCGGACCGATTTAAGTGGGTTAGGATTTTCATTATACAACATTGTTTTGAGATGTCTTTTTTATGCGTAGTTGATTGTTAAGCACAATAAACCTTGGCCAGTCACTTTTCAAGGGAAAGGAGAAAGGAGAATTGGGCTATTAACATAATAAATTGTAAGATAGATTTACAAAAGGTTTGCCTTTAATAGTTGGCCAAATATTATGGACCATTTCTTCTAACATAGGGTACACGAAACACATAAAGTCAACAACTTTTGTACACTATCTTACATTATTATGGAAAACGTTAGCTAACCCTTTACTCCTTTCCTTGGAATGACCGGCCATTTTTTGGCCTTATTCTTTGCTTTTAGGAATTTCCAAATTTGAAAGAAATTGAGTTATTAAGACAATTTACATTCCATCTCGCTTGCAATTAAAAAAATTGATACAATTTACAATTAAACGGACTCTTGATGGATTCTCGACAAGCAATCACACCGTTAGCAACCTTAAAAAATCCGGCAAATAAGGTTTCTTCCGCTTTCTGAAGTATTGGCTCACCTTGACCACACACAATCAGACTTTAAATAGATGGCCAAAATTCTCACAAGTTAACTTTTAGATTTGGACAAATTCAAAGTGTTGGCCAAAATTTAAGAAAAAAAAAACTACAAAAGTTGAAGCTTTTTTTGGTTTTAAGCCTAAAGTTGATATTATTTCAAAAGTAAAATAGTATATTATAATATATATCTAAGCTACGAGATGCTTTACTCTTGTGATTAACAGTAAATTGACAAAGTTACCTTTAGCTTAGGCATATTTGTCTTTCCCTGGCCAATAAAAGGTTACAGACTAGTATATACATATGTTAGGCAAGAGCGACTTTTCGCGAGTTGCAATCCATGGCTAGGGCAAGTGTGGATTACTTTCAGACTCTTAACGATCAATACTTGTCGATTAGGAGGAACGTTTCCAATTAAACCCTCGAAGAAGTCTTGCAAATAGCATCAAAGTCATTGAAGTCCCATTGTCACCCCTGCACACCTGCGTCTTCCCGCTGCTAAAATTAAGTCATCAAATAGCTACTCACGTCTTCGACAAAATGTGAAAAGATCATTAAAATCACACTCTAATTAATCATATATAGATTAATTAGATATCAGATAAAGTCTAATTTAAATAATTAATATATATAGTTTATAATAAACAATATTAATCACACTTAATAACTTTGGAATTAAATTAACATGACTCCACATGTTTTCAAAATTTTTCCAAAATAAATAAAGAGGAGGGACATTTCTACCAAAAATAAATAAAATTACTCCCTCCGTCCAAAAGATAAAAAGATAGTCCACTTTCTATTTTCATATAGATTAAGAAATAACAGTTATTATGGTTAAAGAACAATTTTATTCATATAACTTTTCTATTATTCCAATCTTAAATAACACATGAGCAATTATTGTATTGGAACAATAAGTAAGAATTAAGGAGAGTTATTTAAAGTAAGATAAAATTTAATGAGAATATAATAGACAATTTAAGAATTAGTTATAATGCAAAAAAGAAAATTGGACTATATTTTAGAACAAACTAAAAAGGAAAGATGGATTATCTTTTTGGAACTGAGAAAGGAATAAAGAGAAGGGTCATTCTTACTAAGTAGTTAATAATATTATTCCAACCATTTAATCTCCAATGAATAAAACTAGAGATAAAATCATACAAGTTCAAGTCATTAATATGAACATGATAGGTCAAGCTTTTTATGCATTTAAGAGATTTTCTATTTGTTGCTTGATCTTAAAATTTGAAGTTTACAAATCTAAACATGGTTAAAAGCTGCTCAAAGGTTGCAACGTTTTATTCATTATTCTATGAAAACCTGCAAAATAAAAATTATATAGTCTGTTATTATGAAATAGAAGTTTTTTTATCAGCAAATTTAATTATTTTTTTATTGATATTAATGTTGTTCAGGAAAAACTTAACAGTACCAAGAGTTACACCCAAGCCATCAGGTTTCCACAATACACCATATCCTAACATTGACATTGTTAAGTAAAAAACCTGAACAAATTTAATTACAGATGTACAATCTGGATAAAGAGTAGGAGCGTGCAAACGAATTGCAAAAATAGAAAACCGAAAATAGATTTTCTTTCAAAAAATAAATATTTGGGAATAACCGATCCAAAAATCGAAAACCGAAATTATGGAAGATTTCAAATCAAAGCAGAAACTGAAAACCAAATAACCAAACCAAAAATAGAAAATAATCTTATTCTGTTCGTTTTCGGTTTTTTTTCAAAGTTTGCTTACCCCTAACAAAGAGTGCCTAATAGAACTCCTCTTGAGTCAAGAAGGTCTCATTTAACAAAACATCAAATAATCAAAGCATAAAACAATTAAATCGACTCAACAAAAGGCATAGACGTATCAACTCTTTTCTTTGCTGATCCATCAGCAAAATTATTTCTCTCCCTAACCACATATGACGAAAAACAATCTTTGAAAGAGACTCTACCAAGAAATCCCAACTTATTAAATAATTACCACTATTTCCATGGCCTTTCCTTTTTGTTTAATACCCAACAAACAACAGATTTTGAGTCAAATTCAATACAAATACGATAATATTGATAAGCTGACAAGGAGAGTAATTCAATAGTATTGCATCAACCTCAGCTTCATTTGAATCTGCCATGTCATTTGAAACAGGATATTATGAAATAGAAGTTTAAAGCCTCAATTCCATACATCTCCTTTCTTATTGATCATGCATGATTTGGTCATATACGTACGCAGGCAAGCGCGGCTTCACAAGTGCAACCAATGGCTTAGCAAGTGTTAAACTACTCTCGGACTCTTTGAGCTCGATACTTGTCTGATTAGAAGGCACGTTCCAAGTAAATCCATGAAGAAGTCTAGCAAATAGCATCAAAGTCATCGAAGTCCCCATTGTCACCGCTGGACACCCCCGTCTTCCTGTGCTAAATGAAATGAAATTCAAATATGGCTCAATAAGTGTCACTTGAGAGTCACCCCTGCACACCCGCGTCTTCCCGTGCTAAATGAAATGAAACGCAAATCAGGCTCAGTAAGTGTCACTCCAGACCCATCATTCTTGATGTGGCATTCTGGTTTGAACTTGTGTGGTTCATCCCAAATCTTAGGGTTCCGGCCGAGACCCACTCGGCTTAATAGAACATGACTGCCTTTCGGAATAAAGTAATTTGCAACTGTTGTATCGGTAATGGAGACATGAGGAATATTGAATGGCGAAACAGGGTGGAGGCGAAAGGCTTCTCTTGCACAAGCTGTGATGTAATTAAGCCGTGAAAGGTTGGATTCTTGGACTAGTCTCTCCTTTCCAACCACTTTATCCAACTCTTCTGCTGCCTTTTCGAATATCTTTGGTTGGTTTATCATCTCCGCAATTGCCCATTCAACCGCATTTGATGGATTATCCACTGTTGCTGACATTATTTCCTGCGCTGAGCATTATTTCCTGCACAAACTCAGCAAAAGCCTTTCTAATTAACTTTGTGGCAGCCATTAGTGAAAAGTACACCTCTTGGTTTTAGTTCCACCTTTGTTAAACTTTTGGGTTTTTTTTTTTTTTTTTTTTTTTTTTTTTTTTTTTTTTTTTTTTTTGAAAACAGTTTTTATAAGACAATTGATTTTGACAGTTAAAATTTTAAACTCAAATCGTTTAAGGTATCTAGAGGACGGGCCAGACGCAGCAGAGCTACAACTGGGGAGCGGATTCCCCACGGGCATGGGGACAGGAGACAGCTATCTCGGGGCACATCACGACCTACATGCAAGACCCGCAAGACCTCATGAAGTTTGAAGAGAACGGTAACATACAATATGCTTTTTGATAAGAAAGAGAAAGGTAATTTTGAAGCAGTTATTGTCAATAAAATTGATAAGATGTTATAAAATTCAACATGCAATTACTATTAATTAAAATTTAAGCATGTGAGAAAAATAGGTTAATTTTGGAATTCAACCAACTATTTAATTAATAAGAAAGAGAACAGTAAAATAAAATGTTACTTGGTATGTTAAAACAAGAAAAAACATAAAATTTGGTAATTTTGGATCAGATTGATATACACTTATTGTATATAGCCACCTATATATATTACTCATTTTATCCCATTTTATTTGTTTCTTATTCCTTTATTAGATGTCCTAAGATGTTTATGAGATTTTTAAATTTAGATATTTAAATAATTACTTTTCTCGTAATAATCTTTATAATTGTTCACTAAATGAATGACTTTGATTAATATCTTATGAGTTAAGGATTAAAAAAAAAAAAGCAAAATAATTTTTGTGGACTAAATTTTTGATATGCGTGTTTTATCAAACCATGCAAACAAAATGAAACGGAGGGAGTAAATCAATTAAAGTCAATTAAATATTGATCAAATATCAATAAATAAGTCAAATCACCCCCGAAAGTGAGATGAGATGGCAGGGATTCATTATCCCTTAATTAGAGGTCTTAAGTTCGATCCTTAAATATGTAGTCCTTTTAAACATTTGGGAATGAGCGCTTTGTCCCCTTTATGGGCCTCTCCGGCAGGAATTTGGATTAGTGGAGCAGTGGGCTTCGGATTGATTAGTGGAGCAGTGGGCTTCGGATTCTTCCAGCCAATTAAAATAAAATAAATCATTTTACTAAGCAGAAGAAGGAGAGAAAAGTGAGAATTACTGTAATTTGAGCTTTAATCTCATCTGTAGATAGCAAAGGATTGCCATTATCATCTTTTAGAGTAATAAGGACATCAAGCAATTCCTCTTCTTCCTTCTTGCTTCCATCCTTCCATTGTTGAACTCTGCCTTCAATTATAGGATCATGATATTTTCCTATAATCCCATTAGCCTCTTTAATAATCTTCTCATGACCACCCAAGTCAAAGCCCTCCAAACATGGCAAGTAATCAGACAAACAAACAACAAAATGAAAATGAATAATCAAGAAATTCTAAAAAGAGCATCAACATGGCTCTGCTTCTTTCAAAACACCAGGGTCCGTCGCCATTCTTTCTTTCCCTTTCCAAAAAACCTTCTTATTAAACACCATTTTCCTAATGTACATTCCACAATAGTGTCTTTGCAGCAATCCCTCAACATCCACTAAACCACCTTCACTGCATTGCTTGTACCATAAATCGACAAGGTGTCAGCTCCTTCTGCTCTTTTTTTTCCAGAAAACCACAGTTGTTTCGCCGGAGAAAGCATTTGGGTCCACTAAAATTCTCCTTCAATTGTTCTTCCATTGGTCCTCCGTAAGGTGCCAAGAAAACTGTTTTTGATAATACCCTTTGGAAGTAACACAGGGTAAACCATGTTATGGGTCGGGGGCAAAATTAGAATCTTGAGCTTTCAAGATTTCCACAGCTAATTTTTGGGGCAAGTGACCGGTATTACATGAACGTTCCTCACAGCTAATTTTGGGGCAAGTGACCGGTATTACATGAACGTTCCCAAGACGGATACATGCAATTTCAGTGTTCATTTGTTTCATGAGATTGTGTATCCATCTAAAAGCAGGTTCGTTTTTGTACATTGCAAGTAGGCAACCGATAATAGGCCATGGTTTTGGACCAGGAGGTAATTGTTGTCGCAATATGGATTTTTCATTTTTGGATGGTGGTTTATGGGATTTTATCGAGTAAATTAGTAGTGAGGTTATCGTTCCCATCATAATAGTAATGAATGAGAAGCTGAAAATGAGTTGTGGAAAAGCTATTTGGTGGGAAAAGCTCATGTTACTGTAAAGTAAAACAGCAAAGGTACAGGTCAGTACACCGTACACATATCTTACAGATCAATATTTATTTATAGGACAAACTCATGTGTTCGTGGATCCTATGCTTCAAGAAAAGGTCCAATATATAGGCCAGCTACAAGTGGCAAAGTCATAGATGACAATTTCATCCATTAATGTTAGAAAAACGTGGGAAAATTTAATTGAAACGCAAACGCACCTCTTTCACAAAATATATTGCTAAAAAAAAATTAATTTTTATGAACATTTCTCTTATCTTTCGTTCACCAATTAATAATATCCCACCACAAGCTCTCAGCCACTTCACATATTTTCTTTTTGTATTATGTATAAAATGGACTCGAATTCTTAAATGATGTCTAACTTGCTTCATCCTTATGTTTTTTGAAAAATTATTCTACCATCAGTTTTTTTGTCTGAACGTCAATATTTCCATCTGAAAATTTCATAGTCGCTCGTTAGAGGAAATAATTAGATAATCAATAAAAAAACACTATTTAGAGACTGAAATCATGTCATGACAAACGACAGTATTTGAGCTTAAAAGTGTTAGTACTATTAACCATGGCGTTGAAACAGACAACAAATGTAAATTAGTGATCAATTTTGCAACAGATGTCAAGTGATGGTGGAAATGTCAGGCACCGAACAAAGACGGATCAACGACCAATTTTAGTGGTTCTTAAATAAGATCATGTTTTTCTTAGGTTTAATTGAATTCCTAAATTGTATCTTACAAACGGTTTTTAAATATGGAAAGCATGCATATATCGATTCGAACCATTAGTTCAATAAATTTAACGTGATTCCTATGTAATAATGATAATCAATAATTTTAATACATTTGAAACGTTTACAAAATAAAAACATATTAAAAAATAAGGTTAAGTTATAACCTTTTAAAATTTTTTATTTTAGTGTTCAAATGGAAAATTTTTAACAACTTAAAAGTCCTTGATAATTAGTTTTTATATTCATATCTGGGTCTTATGCACTTTATTTCATAGCAAGCAGTATACTTGTGATGCGCATATTATATCACTAAATTTATTTCACTAAATTTTTATATTTTACTCCTATTGAATTATTGCTTTTATATATTGCCTCCATTAATTAAATTTTCTGGATCCGCGCATGATGGTACCCAACCCATAGTAGTATTTAATTAATTAGACCATTATAAATAATACTAAAATTAATAACTAATAGCAATAATAGTGAACAAATAATGAGTTAATTAGTGTAAAACCCTAGCAACTGACACCCTTCTCTCTAAGTTTTGACATTTTCCATTAGTTTTGGACTTAAACCTAAACTGGTCAACGCGGTAGTCCTATGAATATTTTTTAAAAAAAACTTCTAAGATGGATTCTGTTATGCTAAATTTCACCTCCCAGATTATAGTTTTTTTATCATTACAATGGGATTTGTTTAATTTGATAATTCTTGTTTGTACAAATTCTAAAGTCCGGCCTTGTCTCTTTATAATCATCTGCAATTCCAACTTCTCTTTAACCATTCATTCAATCAATCTCGGCCTTGTCTCTTTATAATCATCTGCAATTCCCAATTCTCTTTAAACCATATCATTCAATCAATGTCTTCTCTCTTTTCCCTTCCCTGAAAAAATGGGAGACTCCCGAAGGATGTATCAAAAAAAGGCGAAAAAAGGATTATCAAAGGCAAAAATGATGGATCTTGAAGAACTGTATTCGGGAATTCCAGATGATTCAGTTAACCTTACATTTCAAGATCTTGCAGCTGTAAAAGAAAGTTCAAATTCACCAGAAAAAAAGATATCCATAGCCAATAATATGGAAACCATTCAAGAAGCCGAATCTACCAAACCCTCTTCTTTCAAAAAATTGCCTAGCCTCGACTTCAATAGAGGCTTTCAAGAAACCAAGAATCACCGCCACCATGATGTGGGAAGCATGCATATATCATCATATGGTCATCATCATGGATATGCTTATGCTGATCATCCAAGGCATCATCATGGGCATGCAGAGTTTAGTAGAGGATATGATGATGATATGAGTATTATGAGCATGAACTTTATGTACCAAGATAGAGGTGGAAGTGTTGGGTTTGGGTTCCCTTCCTATGTGGTAAAAGCCCATATTTTTTAAGTCCACTAAACTAATTATTGTTTTACAATATTGCCCCTCAACTAACAGCCATATTTTGATATGTTTGGCTGCTATGTGATCGACACATTCATCTAAAACCATGTGAGGAAAAACAGAAAAACATAGGAGAGGAGAGGGATTTTCTGCACAGCCCCATCCAGCACCAGCCATCGTGTTCTGGAGATTCCCGGAGTTCCAACCGTTGGATCGTTGTGATTTTGGATATGTTGTTCTTTGCTCTCTGTCTTTGCTCTCTGTTCTTGATTCTCATCGTATGGGATTTTTGATTTGGAGGTTTTCAGAGATTTGAGTTCTGGGTCCTTAATCCGAAGCTGCCTATTCTGCTTCCAACTCTGCATAGCTTTTCATCTTCTTCAGTGTTTTCGGGCAGTACATACCTTTGTCGGATTGAGCTGATTTTTGGTGAACTTGTTCCTAAAACATCCAAACTTCTTGATTCTGGCTGATCAGTTTAATTTTTGGATGAGTAGAACATTTTTAAATGTATTGAGAACAGCAGCTGTATTTTTGTGAATCACTCCTATTGTGTTCTACAACATTTGATTTGTGGTTGTTTGTGGTATAGCTTTACATTTTTTATGGTTGTGTAGCTTGCTGTAAGTTGTAAGACAATATTTGTGATAGTGAACTTTATTTCCTTGGACTGGAGGAGAGGTCCTGTGGTTTTTATCCTTCACACCGAAGGAGTTTTCCACGTAAAAAGATTTGTATTCATGTGGTGAATGTTATTTTTGATTGTGTATGATTTGGGACAACTTGTGTTGCTTGAATTTGTTGCTCATTGTTACTCCTAATAGATTCATTCAAGTGGGCAAGTTTTTTGTTATGAGGTCAGTTTGTGTTACTTCCCATCACAGTGGTATCAGAGCTGCAGTTATTTTGTTGATTGAGCATTTTGCTTGTTTGAATTATGGAGGTAAATATGAGCAAAATGATTTGTTTGGATGGCACAAACTATCACACTTGGAAAGGAAAGATGAAAGATCTTTGATGAAAGACTCTTTTATTTTAAGAAAACTCATTTGCCTGTATTTGCTAACTAATAACCTGAGTCTAAGTCTGATGAAAGAATGGGAGTTTGAGCATAGCAAGTATGTTGGTTTTCCTTAGGCCAATGGGTTGAGGATAATGTATATAATCATATTGTTAATGACAAATGCCAAACTTTGTGGGAAAAGCTAGAATCTTTGTTATGGCTTCTAAAACTGGTAACAACAAGTTGTTCTTACTTAAGCAAAGCATAATGCCTACAGTACAAGAAGGGAGCTCAGTACTTGACCATGTAAATGAATTTCAGGGTATCTTTGATCAAAGTTATCCAATAATGGGTGTCAATTGATGAGGACATTATGGGACTTGGTTGTTGAATACACTTCCTGACTCTTGGGAAAACTTTAGGGTATCTTTGACAAATTCTGCTCCTGATGGTGTTGTAACTATGCAGTATGTGAAGAGTGGTGTTCTGAATGAAGAAGTAAGAAGGAGAAGTCAGGGCGCTTCCACATCACAGTCAGATATTTTGGTTACTGAAAACAGGGGGAGAAGCAAGAGTAGAAGTCATGATCACAACAATAGAAGTAAGAGTAGGAGTAAATCAAAGTCAAGGTATAAGAGCCGTGAATGTCATTATTGTGGTAAATCTGGGCATATCAAACGGTACTGTTACAAGTGGAAAAAGGATAACAAAACCAATAAAGGCAAGCAAGAAAAGAATGACAATGATGAAAATGGTGATCGTGTCAGTGTTGCATCGTGTCAATGTTGCTACTTCAGTTGATTTGGCTGTTGTCAATTGGATGGAGTATGAATTAATGTTGCCAGCAATGAGATTCTTTGGGTACTTGATAGTGGAGGCCTGGCACCCATGTTGCCTTCAAAGAAAGAATTCTTCAACATCTTTAACACTCCTGGTGATTTTGGAACTTTACGGATGGGAAAAATGGATCTGTATCCAAAGTAGTGGGAGCATTGGTGGCAATGTCAACGTGGTGACCAACCTTTGGTATGAAGTTGATGACTTAAGAAATGTTACATCCGCCAAGATGTGAGGTTGAATTGAATATCTTTGTGACAACTTTA